TCTCGGCTTAAGTGTTTTCAAACTTTCCGTACGCGCTTATTCGTCTCACTCTCGTACACTTGTCTCTCGTCACTCAAACTTTTGACACTTACAGAAACTATTATCGCTGCTGTTTCTGCCTCTCTCGCGCACAAGCTCGCAGTGTATAATACGCACAACGCAGCTATGCGCCGACACTTAAACTTTGTTGTTGTTTTTTTTTTTTCAACTCGCTTCTTGTTTGATGCCAAGTTGGCTCTCTCTCTCTCTCGCTCTGTCTTTCCTTCTTTCACGTGCGAGAGCAGCTGAGATCCTTCCTTCAAGAGTACACGAGCATCCACGGTGTCGGTGATTACCACTTTGCCGCCTCGTTTTCGCGTCAACGAATTTCTATAGTCAATTAGCGAGTGTGTGTGTGTGTGTGTGTGTGCGTTGTATCGCTGCGATATGCAGTACAAGCCAAGCGAAAACTTGTCGGAGAAGGAAGTGCGGAGAAACAAAAAAATAATAAGAAAAACGCCGAGCACGATAAATTGAGATCTTTAAAAGTCGAGCCGCTCGCGAACTATAGAGCGCATTTATATCCGCTGCACACGCAGTCGTTTTACTGTGTGTGTGTGCCTGCATACGCGTGTGACTGCGGCTAACTATTATATAAGCCCATAGCTCAAGTGCTGGGGAATTTTTAAATAAACGAGAAAGCGGGTAAAAAGGTAGGATCGGCGCGCAAGTAAAGACGAGTAAATTGTGGCCATTTCACTCGGTCAACGCAAATTATCTTTCCCACTTGCAGACTGCTAACTGCGGCTTCTCTCCTCTTTCTTTCTTCTCTCTCTCTCTCTCTCTCGTTCGCCTTGTTTTTTCTCGCTCGCTCCTTTTTCGCCACGTAGCGCGCACGGCTCGGCTCTTATCGTACGTACAACGGCGCAACAGCTCGCAATTGCTTTTCTTTACTTCGCGCCGCGATGCCGCTATCCAGTCAGTCGCAGGCAGTCTGTCCGCTGCCAAAGGAGCGTAAAATAAGCCCGAACTGCAAAGCGACCCGCGCCGACAGATAACGCAGCTACAGCTGATACGACAGCCCCGCTCCTATAAAGTCTTTGGCTTTGAGCGACCGAACGCAGCTCGTTTGCCAACCTTTCCAAATTGCTCCTACAAATCCTTTGCTACTTTTTGCCATCCTGCCTAGAGTTTTATTTCAAATTGCTGCACGAGACGACGCGCTCGATCCGTCAGAATTTCCACTCGTGTATCTACGGAAAGTCCAATTGCGATGCGCAACCTTGACGCTCGTTAGCCGAACCTGCCCAAACTCATAAATACATATTCTTCTTTTCTCTTTCTCTTACTTACTTTATCCTGATTTCGTGTGCACAAAATATGCTATATCGCCGCCGGGATCTAGTTAATAAACAATGGCATGTTGAACTTTTCGCGGAGATCAAACTTGGCCGTAGGTTGGAGCCCCTTTTATCTGGATAATGCGCGCCCCGATTGTTTAGCCACACAATGGGGCTGAGGCTCGAGCTTCCGAACACGCTGTATGGCCGCGACGCATGCACGCCAGTGCACAGGCTAGATGCGATGTTTGCATCTCTCCCTCCTTATCTTCGCTCTAGTCTCGCGTTTTCAGTGCTCGAGCGTAATATATATACGCAGGTGCGAAAGAGATGGCGTCAAGCATATCGTTTTAGCCTCGCATGTTCTGCACTTGTTGCGAGCTCGGCCATATTCTCGACGATGCGATTCAAAGTACCGAGTTGACACCCATGTATGCGATCGGATCTCTGCACTTTACGCACAATACACTTGCCGATCCTATCTTGCTCCAGGCACTTTTTCATAAATGCGCATTGCAATACTTATTCGGACAATTTATTCATAACCAATGGACAAAGTATCACCCCGGATCTATCGGCTAAAACTATAGCTTCGCGCTTACTACTGCACTCTGATTAATTCATAGATTTTAATTGATAAATAATCCTTACGGTAACCAGTTAATTTTCTTTTTATTACTTTCAAATTACCTTCAAGTTTGCTTCATACTTTAATTCTGATACATTTTTATTTATGACATGTTTTAATTTTTATATTTATCTTTTTTGTTCTCAGGACGAAGTAAGTAACAACGCTATCATATGGAAGTACCTCTACGAGTATGCCTGATGAGTTTCGAAAATGTGAGGTTTCAGATTTAATTTTACTATTTTTCCTTTCAACTTCTCATTTTCGTATGAATGTTTTTTTCCTCATTTATTTACATATATTCGTCTGTTACTTCAATTAAATTAAATGCGATTAAAGCAATAATAAATTTACCTATGTTCCAAGTTTAACTGTCAAGTTATAGCTCAATTTTGTATTGTAAAAAACCTAGGTTCGCTATATAAAATATATAATGCAAAAGTGCTTAAACGGATTGAACTATAGTTCAACTTTTTTATGTTTGAAAAATTTCCTTGAATTTTTTTACTATTGATTAATGATTACTTCACGAGTCGTTCACTATTCAGTGATACACAATTTTCTATGCGCGTGGGATAATTGATTAATTTTCAATATCGTAAATTTTCTTATAAAAACTAAGACGTTTTGACATAATACAGTAAATGAAAAGCCTTTCGTGAACGTTTGAAATAATTATAAGGTATTATAAGGTACCAGTAAAATCAAAAATAATTAATTATTTTGAATTATTTACATTAAACCGTGATAATATTTTTATCTTAAAATTAGAGTTGAAGACCATTCTAAATTAAAGAATCAAAATAATTTTATGTAAGAAGTAAACAAATAAATAAATTTTTGAATTAGGATTATATTGTGTAGCGAGAGAATTTTGACAAAGAATAAAAAATATTCGCATTTCCATGAATACAGTCATTATTCGTAATGAACATAAATTGACATGAATTAATTTTTTTATTTTCATTTCGACGAAGCACTACACAGTATTATGTAAACGCGATCTCGTAAAACTGTATCTGTTACACTTCTCAAGGTAATTACAGAAATTAAGCAATCATTCGTTTAACGAAAGCAGTACAAACGCTCATAATGTAGTGGCACTTACGATGCTAAAACAAGTAGGTTTATACACAAGTGTGCGCACGCGTGTCCGTGAGTATGTGTGAGTAGGTATGAAAATGTAAATGCCATTTATAATGAGATATATTTTCTTGGACGATGTAGTAGTAGACTCATCGCGTGCTACAAGTCGAATTGATGAAAATGCGAAACAAACGCTCGGACGAGCTGAATTTAATGAGATATCTTACTATGATTGTTTCCACTTGGCTTGCCGCCACTCAAATACAAAATGTACTTATCGCTGTATTCGTTGCTTCATTTTTATTATTTGCCATTCGTGATCGTCATATTCAGCAGTGTACAATGAAAGCCGGTGATGTGTAGAGCGAGGATGGAACGAAAGATAAATTTAATTGAATTAAAAGTCCATGTAAAGGTATTGCTGTATCCAAGAGGCTAATAGAGACCTCTTTAATTCAGCGAGTTGTAATAGAGCTCCTTTCGAGGCGGTAAATAGACGCGACTAAAGAGCTCGTGCTCTTTATGGTCAATATGTGCGAGCGTGTCGCAAAGACAGGAGCGTCGGATAGGTAAAATGCCTGCTTTGCTCGATTTCATTTCTCGGAAAGGTGCCTAGGCGCGTCGATTAGTTTTGCACTCGCGCGGTAAATCGCAGTGCGAGGCAAACGAGAGCTCCTTCCAACAGCTTATCGATCGAAAATCGGAAATTATTCTCGCGCTACTTTTCCCGACTCGGGCATCCGTTTTTCTTCGAAGGTACTCGCTCCTTCCAATAGACTCGTGCTCGTCGCGTAACTCGGCCTTATATATTTGTACCAGTCATTCTCGTCTCAGAAATTATCGGCTGACTCGAGGCGCAATTCGGGGTGGATTCGCTCGCTCTCGTCTCGGCGCCTACAGAATGACAATTAGTGCGTGGCTTTTCCGCGGTGCCTAATGCTCTCTCCAACTGCCTCCGAGTGCCAGAAAAGACGCGAGAGAGACGGAAAAGCATCTCGCGGGTGAAGCACGTCTTCGTCGCCCCGACGTTATTGCTTTCCAGCCAAGTGCTCCAGTCAAACCGACACAAGTAGTGCGCGCGACTTGAGTAATTAGACGCCGGATCCCTTGACTGCCGCAGCTCGTAGGCGCGTCTTTACTTGGTGGTTCGACGATTGCCGCGCTCGCCCTCCAGCCTGACTAAGGCTTCAATTGTCGATTCTTCCTCGTCGTTTCTCCTCGTGTCTCATCTGCCAAAATTAATTTAAATATTTCTTCGCGCAACTCGATCATCTTTTTCGGCCAACTTTTTCTTTTCCTGCACTTTTGGCTAATTCTCGCATTTCTGTCATCGCTCTGCACATTCTTTTTCACAACGCACATCATAGTTTTGTTAATTTTATTGATATTTACGAGAGAATTTCAAAGATAGCGATCGAAATAATCGCTAAAAGGCTATTATAGTAATTTTATTTATTATGCTTCACTGACAAGTATAGTAGCTCGTTAAGCTGTGCGCTTCCAAGTATATGGACTCGGAAAATAACATTTACACATGGCTATGCTCGTTGATTATAAATGGCATTTTGATTAGTGCGCCCCTGTCCTTTCACAAAGTTATTGATGATTCTTGAGCAAGCTCGAATCGATTATTTCATCGTTTCTCCTCCCGAGTAAAATTTCACATTATTTCGCCTAACATTGACGTTGATAGTATCAAATTTGAATCTTCGATATTACAAAAAATGCATCATCAACTAATGGTTATAAATGAATAAACAAAAAAATTAATCAATCATTTTTCGATAAAAAAGAACGCGCTATTTTTTAATCAGTGTTAAACTATTGTTTTGAAGTTTAGTAGGAAGATTTTGAAAGAAAAATTTGAATGAAAAAAAAAAAAAAAACAGAGAGTCGAGTAAATGAGCTAGAATGAATGATTTCAGCCTGGAACTATATTATAATACTGAGAATAATGGGTGTTTCAGGTCCACGGACGAGACGGCCGAAGCGGCCGAGCGAAGCTAAACCCATGGCCGAGCCGGAGGAGAAGAGGCCGCGAACGGCCTTCAGCGCGGAACAACTGGCCAGGCTGAAGCGCGAATTCGCCGAGAACAAGTACCTGACGGAGCAGCGCCGCCAGACGCTCTCGAAAGAGCTCGGACTGAACGAGGCCCAGATCAAGATCTGGTTCCAGAACAAGCGGGCCAAGATCAAGAAGGCCAGCGGTCAGAAGAATCCGTTGGCGCTTCAGCTGATGGCTCAGGGCCTCTACAATCACTCGACGGTGCCACTCTCCAAGGAGGAGTTGGAGCAGGCCGCCGAGCTCCAAGCCAACTGATGGGAGCCAAACTACCAAATACTCGTTGTTCGAAGCTCAGTAAATGCCATTCGACGCAGCTCGCGAGCGATAAGCTATTAGCCGATTCCCGTGACAATTGTGAGATTATAGCGACATTACAGTAAAATTAATCGACAGTTCCTTCTATATACTTGTTATGGCCTAAATTGCATTTCATAACTTCTGTTTGGCACTTGGCAACATTTTTTTTGTAAATATTAATCTTAAATCATAAAACTAACACATGCATCACGTTCGCGCGTAATACAAATAAAAATAGGAGTCGTATTGCCATTTGTGCATCGAGTCAAAGTCGACACATTGAGACATTCGAAAGATCATCCTTGACGCCACTCGACGCCAAGGACGTACAATACATCTTTTGTCGCGCGAACTGTTAACGCCGCGTACAAATGCTCGCTTCGAGGACTACCGTTATTGAATTTTGTTATTTGTTTTTTACATTCTCAGCCGTAACGATCGATTCGGACTTTATCCCTCTTATCTCACTCGATGCGACAATTTGCCCATTCGACAAAATTGATCGATGCTCCGTGCCATCACTTTTATTAACTCGGACTTGGATCACTGAGATACCGTACCTGTATATTCGTATGATTACTCCATAAGTATATATTTCAATGTCGTTGGTCGTCGAGTTAAGCCATCCTCGTATGTGATTACACGAGCGCCAACCTGGTCGAGTTGAGCGAAAAACCTGGTCAGGCTAGGCCAAAATTAGTTTAAACAACAACGAAAATGATGGGCTTTCCAAGTTGCTGTGAGCGCCTTCCTCGGCTATTTCAGAGTCACGATAGACCAAACTTTCGCCCGTACGAAACGACGTTGCGTAAAACTGGCCGACCATAAAACTTGTACAAAGTGTCGCTGGCTCATTTTGATGTATCATTTTTCAGCTAAATCTCCTTCTTTTGTACATACCGACAAGACAAAGTTCGGGAAACCTATAATGATCACTGATGAAAAGGGACGTTTGCGACTTTACACAGTATTATACCATTGATCGTACATCAATGATTGCTCAAGAAAACGAAGCTCGTCATTATATGTCATTTTGCAAAGTCAAAGTTATTTCTCCTCTTTTATCTTCTCATTGTTATCGAGTGCAGTCGTGCAGTTTTAGCAGACCTGCCTAATTTATTCGTTAGATATTCGTGTAATATATTGTAAAATAGCCTCGCCACTTAAGAACGATTGTACTATTGTAATTGCGTCGTGCGTTAATTGGAATAATGAATAAAAAATGAATACACTTACACAAATGCACAGATACACCGAAACTCGATGGTCGATACAAAACTGCTTTTTCCTTATCTCCTAGATGGGAAGCAAGTTGACTCGTCATACGTGTAAGCAGACATTCTTTTCTCGCACTTTTTCGTCCACGACACTGCACTGATAAAAATTGGCGGACTATCACCGGCAGCGGGTTAATAATCGCACTCCATGTAACTCGTATAGAGTTCGAGTTCGATTACTCAAATCACAAGTTCAAATCACACACTGTGCACACAAACACACACACACACACACACACTGATCAATAGGCTCGCGAGCCGGCTTAATCCGTGAGATGAGCAGCTCGCGACTCATATATTGTGTATCTGCAGAGACGCACACTTATTTACACAAGATCGACGAGCGCGCGCCAGTCCACTCGTTGACACGACAGTTGCAGATTCGAACTTGGCCGTTACTCTTGGAACGCGAATGTCGTTCGACAGTCGTCACTATTGGTCACTTTACTGATTCGTCCATAGGTAAAACAAACGAGGCGTTGCGGATCGAGTCTAAACGAGAGACCTTCTTTGTTTTGCCTCCAGGCAAATCAGTAAAGCGAACAAAATAGCGACGACTCTCGAAACGGTCTATTGCAATTCGGCATCAATGTGCCAAGTTACTTTGTTCTATTAAATGTATTGAAGGGCTCGCGATGCATATACCCTCTTTCGGTTAAATAGTCACATCGCTTCTAGAGACTTAAAGCCTATCTGTTATCTGCATTTTACGACGAATATCTTGTTGCACGATGTCGGGCCGTTGGGCTGCTCGCGCGCTCGAGTCTGTGTATGTGTGTGTACTGTGTACAGTGTATGTGTCGAGTGTGCAGTGTATCACAATTCACAGTGTCAGTTGATCAGTACAAGTATCGAGCTCGGACTCGATGTGTCATTTCAATTGCGCGATAATCCTAAAATGCGTCGCTTACGACGGCTAATAGCCAGGTATTTTTCATTAGTGTCATTTTTTTTCTACCTACGAAATCTGACAGCATTTTTTTAAATAAAATATCGAAGCGTGTACGTAACTTCGAGTCTCGATCTCTGTCCTATTATACGCAGAGCTGCAGCGAGCAGAAACTCGCATTTTTATGCTAACGTGATGCTGCTTGGTAGTTTGACTCGCAAAGCTGCAGTACTGATCTCATTCTCGTTTGGCTGATCCTAGACTTGCGTTGGTTTTAAATAGAGCCAGCTCGCGTTCTGCTGGGAAAATTCATTTGACCTGCGGATAAATCAAAGACTGATCGCTGTGTGTGTGTGTGTAATATTAAACAATAATTCCGATTCTTTCTATTGCTCATGTCTTTTATATAAACAACGTATATTGATGGACGAGTAGGCGCGAGTATAGTATTTTTAGCAACTTTGTGATTCTCTTGTACATTAATCAGTTGAAAAGTTTACCATAGCTTTGACAACTATTCATTTTAAAAAGCAGAACGAAGGTACGAACAAATGTTTGTCGTGTTTTTGCGCAAAATTCAATGTACTTCTGGCGTCGAGTTTCCCCATTTGATTGAGAGTATGTAATCTTGGATGTAACTTGTAACTTGTTAATTGATAAAATGCAATAAACGTCGCGACACACTTATTTATATTAATTACAATGTACATATTATCATAGGTAAATCTGTAAATAATACGCCAATCGTGACGTCTTCAAGCTTGTAGACTGTTCATATAATTTTAATTGTGTATTCAACGAAGCTAGATTTGTAAGGAGCGATACGTAATGCGTCAAAACAACTAGATTAGTCGAATAAATTTGTACGTGTAAAGTTATGTGGAAAATTGATTAAATATTCCCAGCATAAATATAAGCCAGAGTGTATTTGTTTTCATCTCCTCACCTCGCAATATATACAATTTATACAATATTATACATAGCAGATGGAAAGCTGCTGCAAGTAAATCGATCTTCCGTACATCAACACGCAATCAAAGAAATGGAAAGATATGAATCGTCGATGAAGGACGAATGAATCCACTATACATAATAGGTATAAGTAGTAAGTAAGTATGTAGCCGAGAAAGAAACAATAAAAGGGATGTGTACGGTGGATGGGTAGGCGATCATGGAGCATTAGCCGCCGAGTAAATAATTTTCCCCGTAAGCTCGTAAATGATTTTACTGCCAAGGGTAGAACATTAGGCGGTCGTGTCGGAAGCTCGCCAAGTAGTATCGAGGGAGCTGGAAATACAGATGTGTCAGCCGTCGGCGTCGAGTTTTGAGGGGGGGCTAAAAGCAAAACTGCAGCATGTGTATTTAGAGGAAAGTAGCCTAGTCTCGTGGGTATATAAAGCAGCGGTGTGCGAGTCGGATGGGGCGGGTCGATAACGGATGATTGGGTACACAGGGCACGAGCTATCTCTTTCTGGCCGTTGCGTACACGTTCACTGGCTGCTGTTACGGATGTTGCTGCTCGCCTCTAGGATCCTCCGATATCAATTGATTTACGGTCGAAAGGTGGCCATTGCTGATATCGAGCATGGCCACGCCCAACTTTTAGACGTAGTTGCGCGTTAGAAGCGGCCTTTGCTACGGCAGTTTTGCCGAGCCAGCTTCCTTCTGTTCCTTCGATTCCTTCGCACTTTACTTTGCCTGTACGTGTAGTTATTGTCACCGCATTACACACGGCCACGCACGCGTTTAATCTACGCCTAACATGCGACCGCCTAATAAATGCTCCTTCCCATCCACTGAATCTCTGCCAATTATTCATTTTACGGATCTGCGCATATGCCACCCTCGTGATTCCTGATTTACGATCGAGGATTTGTTCTGCATTTTCACGCAGCAGCGGCTTCCCGAGTAACCTGGCGCCATCTTTCTTAATTGCCCCAGTCGCAGCTTTTCACTTTCATTCCTTTATCCCTTTTTGTTTCAATATTTTTACTTACATCTTAGTCTTTTCTCGAGGTTTTTCGCAACCAACTATTTACGCGTCATCAAACTACGACGTTCAATTATACTTGATTCTATCCAACACTTGACAAAAAATAAATTTTCTCTTTCCATCGATTGCGTCATTTTTGCCATTTTCCCATTTCTCTTCAATTTTTTAACTCGCGATACCTTACTGTTAATTGAAAATACTACCGAAATCATTGAACATTATATAAAGCAATTTTAATAATCGTCACAATAAAAAATAAGTCTTTTGAGACTTGATTAATTCTAAATCATTTGCATAACGTCTTATCTTGTTGAATTTTATAGAAATAATAAATAGAAATTAATCGATGAGTTAAGAAGAATATTATAATCGATTTCCTGTTTAATTCGCAGCCTCGTATATTAAATTTTTATGACGGGTTTGGATCAATGTGAAAAATAGTCTGTATTGATATAAAGTGTTAATTTGCTCTTATCAGGTTGTGATTAGAAACGACAATGCCAAATAAACATGATTAAACTCATCTGAGCAAACATAATTATGCCTCGATACTGGCCCAAGTGTAAAGTGATGTCAGGTATACGTATTAAGGAATGGCTTATCTTTGTGGCACCGGCCTGGCATAACAATCGAACAAGGGCAACGTTTGAATCATTTTCCATACAGAAAGCTAAATATCATAGGTAGACGACTCGTCCGACAGTTGGATGTTGTTTTTTTTGGTAATATACCGGTTGATTTATCGCGAGACATCGGCAAGTCGATTCGAAATCGGAACGACGAACGAACAAGGCAGCTATAGCGCCGCTTCCGAGTCGGTCCGCGGAGGGATGGAGAAAAGCTGGTCGAGTCGCGTAGATTTAGTTGGCCGAGCTATGCAAGCTATGTGCTCGAGCGCATCGCATCTGTGAGTAAAATGAAGCGTCAGCTCGCGCGGCTCATAAGTCTCGGATTGGGTTCGCGGCAAAAGAAAAGCGGCGGCCCAAGGAAATTCATGGCTTTTCTTCGAGCTGCGCAGACGTCGGCGCGCGATTAGTTGCATTTTGTCGGTTGGCCGCTGATTCGCCGCTGCTGCTTCGTGCCTACCGATACGTCCCTGTCAGATTAGGATCGCGTATTTTATGCAGCAGCCACATGATTGACTCTCGCGTCCGTCCGTCAAGCGAGCGAGCTGCGATGCACAGCGCCGATATTGTATACCCGTGCCCGAGCCCCGCTGCTAATCCGCCGCAACCGCAGCAGCTGTATATCTATATACAGCTACGATGTTGGCCTTTGTCCTACAATCCTTACAAATGATCGACCCAACGGCTCCATATGTACGTTTTTTTGTCCATGTTGTGCTATGTAGGCCCGAACTTGGCTACGTGTTTATGCGAATTTCCAACTCGGTCGAACATCGAAAATTAAATCGTTTCGCGATTGAGCAGAGGATTTGAGGATTTTCGCAAGTCGATGAAAATTTGTTTTATCGATCGATTCGATGGTCGAGCTAGCTAACAAAAATCACCCAAACCTAACGCTGCAGTTGCTAATCGTACAGAGATGAGAATAATTTCTAACGCGCATCCATTTGTCAATTTAATTGAGCAATATGTTATTTCGAGGAGGAATCGTGTCCGACGCGCAACATATCGCAGCGTGAAATGCAGCTTGCAGAATTCATTGCCAACGTAATCCGACATTCCATTGTGAGATTCTAAGAGTGGAATTTTCGCCTAGTGACAAATACAGGCCCCGTTGAAAAAGCAACACATTGTAAATAATCTTGGCAAATAATTGCAAATAGCCGATAACGAGGCGTAGGAAACGAGTGAAAAAACGATCATAGACTGCTTTTTGATCCAACTGCAGCGAGGACGTTGGTGGACGTTGGAGGGAATAATTTACGAAATAATTCAAGCCATCGGTAGGTGAGCGAGTCAGCCGCTAGTTAGCGTGTGTCGTACAAGCGGGTGACAGAGAAAAGGATTAATAGTGCAACGATCCAAGTAAGCCAAAAGAGAAGAGAGAAGAGCGAGAGAAAAAAGGTACGGTATAATAGCCATACGTGTAGAAGGACGGATCGTTACCGTTGCTTGTGCTGGACATTAGCAGCAAAGGGTGGAAAGACTCGAGTATCGGAGCTATGCTACACGAGCAAAGCTCAAGGACCACACACGATGCTCCACGCGTCTCACTTACATTGCTTAATTGTAAACGAGCGAAAGGCTCTCAGCACGATTTGCTACTGCGTTTTATTTTCTTTTCCTCTTTATACACCTTTCTCTGGCCAGTCAGCGGCTTTGCTCATGCACGTGAGAGTACCCGATGCAGCGTCCTACTCGAGCTTATAAGTTGATTTTTTTACACCAGTTCCGTAAAATTTCCCCTCTACCTCCAGCTCCGTTTCGCCTGATTAATTAATCTTTTTCGCTCCTTTTGGCTATACTATTTAACTTTTAGAAATTTAGCGGCCGCACAAAAAAGCAGCTACCTACGCAATTCTTGTTCGTCTTTTACGTATCGTGTATATATAGGCTTTTATAAAGCCAAGCTCGAGTCGGAGAATTCGTGGCAGTCTCACGAGTCGTGTTTCGGCCGAAAACGAGGCGTCGTGCGCTATGGATCGCCGCACCAACAAAAAAAGTCATTTTAATCGCTGCTGCTGCATCGCGGCTTCTCCGATGCGTTTCGCTCGTTTGCGCCAAAGAGCCAAGATTAATGCGACAACCCCGTGACAACGAGCCTACTTGACAAGGCCATTATCATATACAATATTATACATACATAGATACGTGCGAGTCTTGGAGCATTTACATGTAGCCACGCGTAGGGTGCTTCTAGGAGGGGGCGCACACACAAGTGTTTCCAGCCTGATAAGGCCAACAACAGCTCGATGCCAAAAGCTACTCGACGATCGTGTTTCGGCATTAAATTTTCCCTAATACCATTTCAAAATTCAATTCGCATTCTCTACCTCTCTAGTAATAGCAGTGTTGAGCCTTTTACAAAAAATAAACAATAAAAGCATGATCCTATGTCTTTTCACTAAACAATCGAATGAAATGATCCCGCGATTAGAAACAATACATTTCATTGTAGACATTTTTCAACTAATTAATTGGCTGACGCGCTCATTTCCATCTTTACCAATCGATTCGAAAATGTCGAAAATAATTCCCACTTGTCCTCCAATCGAGCAGAATGTTAAAAAATCCAAACTACGACTCGTAAGCCGCAGCAACTGCAGCTAGTCTATCCTGAAAGGCAAATAAATTTGTTGAAATTTCGCTATCGAGAGCTTGAGTTTGAATATCGGTCGAGTTGGTAAATCTTTGAGAAGATATGCCGAAAGTTGATTATCAGCGTGTTAAATCGCACGCGACAATTTGTACATCGAGCGAGCTTTAAAGGAAGGGAATTTTTTGTCGACTGTCAGTTACCGCCTGGATGCCAGACCGATTCGACGCGCATTTTATTTCAAGGATCGCAGGGGGTTGTTGCTCCGTCGACGCGTTACTAGTACGTTCTCGCCTCGCAGTTAAAAATACCAAATTGATTAAATTTTTGATCAAATTACTTTTGCTTGAATAAACGTGGCTCGGCAAGCTGGGGAGGTGTCTAGCCGACTAGGCAACCGAGTGAATTGGCAAGCCGAGCTTATCGCGAGGGATGGCCCGTTCCGACGCGATCGCCCGGACCTAAATTCGAGGCTATATTTTATAGGTACGCACCCCTCGCGAGCCTGCCTCGAATTCTTCACTGCTCATCGACTCTCTCTCTGTGCGGACTGCAAGATATACTAGCCTTAACTTGCAGCTCTAGCTCAAAATTCAAAGAATTTCTCCATATTTTTTTCACGCTCGGCTCCTATGTACATTAGTCAGCTAGCTGTACTAGAAGACGACTTTAGCCCGATGA